CTTTCCTTCTTTCCTTCTTGCCTTTCCTTCTTTCTTTTTCTTTCTTTCTTTCTTTTAAATTTTACTTCTTTCCTTCCGTTCATCTATTCCTTGCTTTCTTCTTTCCGTCTTTCCTTCTTGCCTTTCCTTCTTTCTTTTTCTTTCTTTCTTTCTTTTAAATTTTACTTCCTTCCTTCCGTTCATCTATTCCTTGCTTTCTTCTTTCTTTCTGTCTTTTCTTTCTTACTTTCTTCTTCCCTAATTTCGCCTCTTCTTCTATTCTTTTTTCCTTTATTTTTCTTCTCCTTATTTTCTTTCTTTCTTCTTCCTCCGTTTCTCTTTTCCTTTCTTTCATTCTTTCATCTTGCTTTATTTCTATTTTTCTTTGTTTGTTTCTTTCTTTGCTTCTTCTTCCTTTATTTTTCTTGTATTAAGTTCCTTTCTTTCATCTTTCTTTATTTCTCTTTTTCTTTCTTTCTTTCTTTCTTTCTTTCTTTTTTTCTTTCTTTCTTCTTGGTATTCCCATATTTCTCTTATTAATTTCTATCCTTTCTTTTTTTTCTTTTATTCTCTTTCTTTTTCCTATATTTCTCTTCTTACTTTGTCTCATTTCTTTCTTTGTCCTTCTTCTTTCCTTCTTTTTGCTTTTTCTTTTCTTCTTCACTATGTCCAATCTTTCTTTCTTTCTTTCTTTCTTTCTTTCTTTCTTTCTTTCTTTTCTTGTTCTTCTTCTTCCCAATCTTTCCAAAGCCAGCTTTCTTCTTCTCACGCCACAACTGAAAATAATTCGTCTACTCCCTTTTATAAAATCTGCGATCATCACGAGGTCAAAAGTATTAGTTTTCCAAATGGGAAGAGACGCTGTCCCGATGAAAATACTTGCAAATAAATAAACTGGCCTGCTGTCAAATGCTTGATAAGCAATGTCACTAAACCGGTTTCCTTCCTACAAAAACAAGAAGAGAACAAAAGAAAATATTTACTTTTTGATTCAAAGTCGTTGGGCGAAGAGTTTTTCTCAGTTATCAATATTCCAAAAACACCAGACAATATTTTGCTACTCTTCACACTCAAAGACCAGGAACCACTCGCTTTTATTTATGGGACAAAGCATTTAACACAAATGCAATTAACAACGTCAACGCATACTAAGTGCATATATATATATATATAAGATGAGAACGAATTGATGACAATTCCAAAGGTCGTAACATTTAATTTAAAAGGGAGCTCAATAAAAGTAGAGCAACATTATTTATTTTAATACAATACACCGAAAAACATGTCAAAATTGCCACACAATTGCAATCGTGTTTCGATGCGTATCAATGCGTCTCATTAGGCGATTGTAAATTACATCTGCTCCGTTTCGTATCTGAAATGTAAACAAAGCAATTTTCTAAAGAATTAGTGGATATTTTTCATTCTTACACTGTTTAAGTAAATAACAAAAACAGGGGAAGCCACTCAAATACGTATACCCTCTCAAAATAAAAGTAATCTTTCGCTGTGACTGACTAGACGATGTGCGCACATAAATGCCATCATTCGCTTTGAAATGGTTCCCCCCACCCTATCTCAACTTGACCTCTTTCCGAAAGTGACTGATATATGAATACAAATTATCTCTTAGACCCCTTACCAAAATGGTCGCCCCAGCCGTTTCCATAGTAATTAATTTTTCGAATGAACATGCTTAAAAAGATGCGTAGATTTCAAGATTGGTTATTCCTAAATTGAGTATGAAACAGGGCATGATACTTTAATTCACTTTAATGTTAATAATTATATTGAGGTTTTTCTCTTGTTTTTGGAAACATGAGAACTCTTATGTAGCAAAGAATCTTCATTTTTTTGAAATAATTTAAGCTCTACTTCTGTATGGAGCACTTTTTAAAAAAAAAAAAAAATACTAAAGAACTCCGGATTATTTAGCTAACGTTTCTTTCCTGTTTTTCTACATATATATATATGTGTGTGTGTTTACATATATATATTTATATATATATATATATTTATATATTATATGCATTCCTTATTAAAGCGCTCAATATCAAAGATAATTTAACATATTTGGTTTGGATTGATGGCAAATAGTGACCCTTCGTTTCACGCTTTTATTCGATCGTCAGACAGTCTGACGATCGCAAAAGCGTGGAACTCTATTCCGTTTCAATCAACCAAATATATATATATATATATATATATATATATATAATATATATATATATATATATATCATCTTAAGAACCCCTTTTCCTTCTCTCTAACCTCATCGATAGCGAAGGTAGGGGGGTATAATTTATGTTATTTTGTTTTTTTAAACATTTTACATTTTTTGTAAAATATATTTCTTTTCCAAAGGTCTCTTTCGATTGATCCAGACACGGCCGGGCGGAAGGAACAAGCACGTTTAGGAGACAAAAACAATGGGAGTACGGAAATATAAATTTTAAAAAATGGAATATAAAAAAAAAAAAACAGCCAAAACAAAAATGACGATATATCAAATTAAACATTT